GGATCACTTAACAAGTCTCACATGGATCACTTAACAAGTCTCACATGGATCACTTAACAAGTCTCCCATGGATCACTTAACAAGTCTTACATGGATCACTTAACAAGTCTCACATGGATCACTTCAACACTTAACAAGTCTCACATGAATCACTTAACAAGTCTCACATGGATCACTTAACAAGTCTCACATGGATCACTTAACAAGTCTCACATGGATCACTTAACAAGTCTCACATGGATCACTTAACAAGTCTCACATGAATCAATTAACAAGTCTCCCGTGGATCACTTAACAAGTCTCCCATGGATCACTTAACAAGTCTCACATGGATCACTTAACAAGTCTCACATGGATCACTTAACAAGTCTCACATGGATCACTTAACAAGTCTCACATGGATCACTTCAACACTTAACAAGTCTCACATGGATCACTTAACAAGTCTCACATGGATCACTTAACAAGTCTCACATGGATCACTTAACAAGTCTCACATGGATCACTTAACAAGTCTCACATGGATCACTTAACAAGTCTCACATGGATCACTTAACAAGTCTCACATGGATCACTTCAACACTTAACAAGTCTCACATGGATCACTTAACAAGTCTCACATGGATCACTTCAACATTTCACAAGTCTCACATGGATCACTTCAACACTCAACAAGTCTCATATGGATCATTTAACAAGTCTCCCATGGATCACTTCAACACTTAACAAGTCTCACATGGATCACTTCAACACTTTAAGAGTGAACCATCTCAGGTGACCCAATGTGGAGCTGGCAAGAGTCACCCATCACTAGGCTTGCCAATATGGGGCAACCATTGAAACTATGAGAATCCCAGCACAACAACCTAGCAGCGAGCTATCAACAAAGAACCACTTAACAAGCAGTGACCCATCATGATGCAAAGTTACCAAAATCAGAGCTTTCCAATGTGATATGATAAAAAAATACATGTTACCTACACCGAGTAATTGATAAAATCACAATAGTAAAAAGTACACACAATTTTCCAAAGAAAAAACTGGATGGATTTTACAAGATAAAAAAATTATGAATGTTACTTGTATAAATGGAATCGTAACATATGAAGCACCTTTCCCTGTGTCTAAACACAACCAATACATTTGCCCTAATGTCTGCATCCCCAACCCCCTCTGGTCATTTAGATAGCAGTATAAGAATCCCACGGTGGAGGAGACTAGGGCCTCGCAATATTCCTAAGGAAGGGGGAACTGCCGTGAACAAAACAATATGCCATAAGAGTCTAGCAAACTACAACAACAAATTTAAACATTCTTCTTCTTCTTCTTCTTCTTCTTCACGCTCAAGGCTGTAAACTCTAGCAGAAAGTTCCGGCTGTTCATTTACTTCTGAACTGGATAAATTTTATAAATCTGATAAATTTGAAAACAGACGTTTTTCCTCTCACTGCCTCAAAAGCAGACGCACTCTGATTTCAAAGGAAACACACCTAATTAGTCAACTTCTATGGCATGCTTGTTGCGGGGGGG